AATAATCCAAATTATTTTACTGTGAGCTTTGATTAACTGTGTACTCCTACTACTCATTCTCTTTTACTGTATAGAAAAAGAGCAGCTTGGACATTCCCCTAAATTCATCTGAAACAACATACTGTTGAGTTAAAGTTGCAGTCCGAAAGTTTTGCCTCTTTGTCGCCATCTCTGTTTGAAAACCTGGAATTGCAGCTGTGTGTGGCATTATCTTCCTTGTGTGGGTTGTGAGTCGGCATGGCTCCAGCGCAGATGAATCTAATGTTCTGAAGAGTATGTGTGGCAGTCAGTCACTGCAACAGTGTTGATATTTACTGTACTTCGCAATCACAGGTTCTAGCCTATGTCTTGGAATATGACCCAAATAAGAATTTTCACTGTATATTGCCATCTGAACAAGTAAGTAACAAGTCTGCCATGTTTGTTCTGACCAACTGAGGAAAAAAGCATTACCATAAATCTGGCTACCAATGGTGATTAAATCTAAAGATCGGTTAGCTCATATCACATCAAACCGTTCAAATTATTATTATTGTTATACTTTATTCTCAAATGATTAATGTTAACAACATCAGCATGGGTGACTATGAATATAGTGTGTATTAGCGTGTAGATTTCAATTTCTGCACAGTCTAATCTAATTGTCATACTCTTCGAATTTCATATTAAGAAATTATTTTAACCCAAAAAGAAAATTATGCTCCCTTCGAACTGGTTTTCTTTCAAATACAAATCTTTGCAATCCCAGGCTATCTGTAATCAGAAGCACATTTATAACTGGAATACAATTTAATTTCATTCACATGTTTCATAAACACATAATCCTTTTATGGATTACAATCCGCCATCAAAATGAAACATTTAATTATTCCAGCTGCTGTGAGAAAAGGCTATAAATGAACCACCACCTGCAGGATCCTCACATGCGACAGCCTAGTAGCTGGGACAACTTCTTTATGTCTACAGACATGACGTAATGACGCAGCAGCATGCTCGAATTCCCCGCGAAAACCTACCTGTACCACTCAAATTAGAAAACATTATTATAAGCTAACCAATGTGAATTGGGCTAAAGTAAGGCGATAGTTTTGAACACTGCCTGGTTATGTACTTGCTCAAATATTGATTTCAGATCATTTTTAACCAAAAAAAGTTATGGACTGCAGTTTTAATAATGACAAAATATTTATTTTTGAGTGAACTATCCTTTTAAATTGAATGAGAGGTAGAAAGTAACATGCCCAAACAGCTGCATTTCTAATTTAATTCTGCTCAGTTCACAGGCCATGAGGCAGACAGTCTTCCTTGTTTCTGTGGAGGCATAGAGAGAAAGAGAGAGAAGAAAGAAGAAGAATGAGAGAGACTGCAAGAGCCTTGCTCTCCCCTCCCTCTCCTCCCCTTCTCCCTGTCAGGTTGGCTTTGTGCAAATATCTGAATGATCTTGTTCTGCTGTGGGACGGAAAGAAGCCACACCTACAAGCCCAGCTCAGCAGGCACACAAGCAGTTGCACGTTTATGTAACACACACACACACACACACACACCAGCCCATAGCTGCCCCCTCTGGCTGGAATTTGAATCGTGCACTACAGCGGCATCTTCACCCCTCCTCTGAAGAATAGATGGTAATGCTTTATTTACAGTGTCCATGTTACAGATATGACATGTTACTGTACTTGACTACATATAGTTATGGTTAAATAAATGAATCATTATTATTCAATAAATATACATACATTCATCTGTTTGCAGAATCTGGACAGCTTGATATAGATCATAAATCATAAAGGAAGAATTTCAACACGGAGAGATATTCATTGGCTTAATGTCTGACATTCAAGAAAAAATTTCAAATTAAATTTCAGTTTTCAGGAGAGCAGTTATTTAAACAATTTACACTAAATAATACACTGTTGTCTTTTTCAAAGATGTCTTTTGTACCATTATAAAACTATTGTGAGGACTGAAAGTAAGGCTGAATGTAATGTTTAACAATATGATAATAGTAAACATTTAAAAATACGTACAGGATACATGTTTTACATATTTGAATACTGATACATTAAGCATAGATTGAAAGTTGACCAAATGAATTGGAGTTAGCCAGTGAACTTTCCCAATTTGTCATAATTTAAAATGCATTAGCTGCAAAAGACTTATACATCATCTACATTACATACCAAAAGCAACAGTAATCACCATAACCATTACGTCAGGTGAAACAATTATTGTCAATAAAAGAGCAATATTTAATAGAGCCAAACTTCTAATGTATTTTCCAATCAATACATTACATTATGCATGTTATCAGTATGTATGTTCCTGGGCAAAAACACTACAGCACTGGAATTGTTATCACCATGCTCTGGCTGAGCAGTAGGAGAATTTTAAACTATCTCTTTTAAGTCCCCATGCTTCCTCAAGCATAGCAAATACATTTTTTGAAATGTAAAGGCTTATGGGTATTCCCCCATTGTGGGATCCTTCAAAACAAGGACCATCCAATCATGCAATAACCACGTTATTTGTTTGTTTGTTTGTTTATAAAGTAATTTATCGTGTTACAACATGCATTGATTTCCTTTTAAAATTCTGAATTTGTATTTTATTTATTAATGCCAAAATACACTCTGTTAATATTGAATTTAAAAAAGCTTGCAATTTGTTGCCCTGTAGAATTAAGTAAATTCAATAAAATTATTCGTTATGATTTAGCCATAATAAATCATATTTTTGACTTGATAAATATAAAATGTAATAAATGAATAAAATCTATTTTAAAAATTTTTTTAAGTTACCTGAAACACAAACAAGGACTGTGAATTAAAACAATGGTGGATAATGTAAGATTTAAAGGCAGCAGACATACAGACCCCACAGAAGCTTAGAAGTTTCACTAGAATGAAAGTTTGCCATATAACAGTGAGTTATGCCGGGTTACATTTGTATCAAGGGTCACGGAGAGTTAATTATTATGAAGGACGCTGAGCCCTAAAGGATGGAGCCAAGACTGTCAGACTTTCTGGATTTTTAAACCTGTTGCATAACATAGGATTCGCTATCAGACATTTCATTCAAAGCAATGCAGTTTTATATGGTGTGTTGCTGTGAATGTGTTTGCAATGTTTTGGCAGTCATGTGATTGTACATTAATTCATGTGATCTTGTATTTGTGACCGTGTGTGTGTTGAGGGGAAAGGCCCAGAGTGAGGAGCCAGAACTGGAAGTAAGAAACAGACCACACACAGCTGTTACATGAAGAGAGTGGGTGTGAGGAAGTGTGTGGGAGCTTGACATTCACAAAAACACACAATAAGCCATATTCGGTGAGGGAGTGAGACAGAGAAAAAGAAACAGATTGCAATATATTGATATGGGGGAAGCAGACTGAAAGAAAGATCTTGAATATGACATCCTAAATTCTAAGTTTATTACAGCTGTTCACCGGATGTTTATTCCATTAATGCCTGGGAACACTTCCAACAGCATTTTCTACAGTTAGTCATATTGGCAGGTGACGGTTAATGTCAGTTAGAGGATCATACATTGGCGTCATGTGTGGCAAGTGGGTGAGGTGTCCAGCAGGCCCAAGCGGGCACGATCAGAGCATGGCGGGCAGTGCCAGGTCTGTCTGTGGTGCTTTCCGCCAGAGCAGATGAGGAGAATGGAGCCTTGGGAGAGCAGTGCAGAGTGACTGCAGCATTAACCTAATTACAGTCTGGCCCTGCTAAATAAACACTTATTAAATTTGCATGCTCAAATACACTTCTGGACAGTGCAGGTCACAGTGCATGCAGCCTTATGCTGTCACCCAAAAGTCCACACTTTGTTAAAGAATATTCATTAGTTTCAAAAGGATATGATGTAATGACCCTACTCAAAATAAAATGATATATAAAAAATAAAAATCAATAAATATTTAAAAAATAACATATAAAATGACATTTGTCCAAGGTGTTTCCCTCTACAACCCAAAATGCTTGGATAGGATCCAGCATACCATGACTCTGCAAAGTGGTTTGGAAATAAAATAAATAAATACAATTAATGTATTTTAGAAGATATAAAATAATAATTTACTTATTTATTTAGATGCAGGGCCAATGGGAAGTGGAATTCTTATATAAGTTATTATCTTAAAAGTTAGTTATTTAAGCACCACACAACCACACTCTGACCAAAACCTCAAGCTCTCTTTTTGGTGGTTAACTGCACAGTTAACAGTTTGTACAAAGGATCTGGTTTAGTTGGACCTTGTTAGCCTCTGCTGGTAGATGCAGTAACTACACCAACTGCTTCTGAAAAGCATCTTTCTCCATTGACAGCCGTTCAAAATTAGCCATGTTCTGACTTTACGCACTAAACACCTCACAAGACGTTGATTGAGGTACTAGAGTTGTGTGGATTATTGTGATGTTTTATCAACAGTTTGGACTCATTATGACGGCACCCATTTACTGCAGAGTATATTATTGTTGAGCAAGTGATGTAATGCTCCAAATCTGTTCCGATGAAGAAACAAAACTCATCTACATCTTAGATGGACCGAGGGTGAGTTAAATGTTCAGCAAATTTGAACTTTTATTTCACCGTGTTCCACTATAACACGTTCACTACTGCGGGGCCATTCTTGTCAACTGCCACTAGGGGTCTCCCTCTCCCCGCACATTTCAAAGATCAGAAACATACTGGAACAATGTAAATTCTTTCTCTCAGAATGAACCAACACAACAAACAAAACTAATGCAAATCAATGAATATGTTTACCTACCGGCAAATATTCAAGTAATAGGCCTATTAACAAAATATGAGTCATTACAAACATTTCAAATTCCAGTGACAGTATCCTGGACCTTTAAGAAAGAAAATTGCCATGTTTTTAAATAAAAAAAGCGTTTAACTGTAGCCATTTATTATTCTGTTGGTAATTATGTTCAGGTCCAATGAGATTTGAGCAGATTAGTTTCATATAGAGGCTGGATTAACCTCCACCCGGACGATAATCCGTGTCAGCATATTTCTTTGACACGTAGCTACACAATAGAGTTGTTTCTTAATTCGTTTCGAGAATTTCTGTTTGTTTTACAGTTTTCTTCTTGAACTTAGGCACCTTGCAGCTCCCTGTCCAGTCTGCCACGACACGGACAGATTCTGGGCTGGACCGCCTGTGATAAGCATCCTATGCTATTTTGTTCAAGATGGCGGTGGCGAGCATGGAAAAGGACGCGATAGTAAGTCACAAATACCTTTGAAATCTTACAATGCTTCAGATTTTCGTAAAATGTTAATAAAACCGATTAATTTAATAAGAAGCGCAGTGGAAGTCAGTTTGCATCACATGCGACGAGATGACTCGTTCATTTCTCACACCTAGAGTTGAAAAAATCATAATGATTTTGTTCAAATGCAGATGTGGAAGACCGTAAGGACAAAGAATACTTCAAGCGTTCTTTGAGCTCTGATGTATTTAGTGCACATCATGTTTTCTTCATCAGTCTTTAAAGCTTTATTGCAGATGTAGAAGGCGTGTCGTTTTATTGTTAAAATCTTTTGCGTCTGCAATACAGCGCTCGTGTTTTATTGCACTCCTTTTTTTTAACTTGTAAATCTTCTCTTTCTCATCTGAAGAACACCGAAGATGATGTTCACTTTAATAATTCGTTTGGAGATTCTGGGCTTATCTCCCCTGATAAAGAAGACATCTCTCGTATTCTGGTAGAGATGATGTTTAAAAGGCATCGTTGTTATCTTCTGCTATAGTTTCTGTTGCATTGATTTTTAATTTAAATTTTTTCCCCCATCTGACATACCAGACAGTTCCTTTCAGTGGACGGATCAGAGGTGGGATGAGGCCTGGGAAGAAAATCATAATAATGGGCATCATTGATCCAGAGCCAGACAGGTATGTTTTCATATCAGAATTGCGTACATTTAAGAATGTACACATTCTAGCAGTTGCAAATAGTTACATCAGACAGAAGCTCTGTCTCAAAACCTTGTAGGCTCCCTTAAACTGCATTTTTGGGCATCATGGGTCTATATGCTGTCTTCATAGGCAGCACTATGTTTTGAGAAACTGAGCCTGTTGTTTCAGATTGCATTGGGTTGTAGATCTGCTTGAGATGCACTGCATGGGTGTGTGCACTGCTTAGTGATGATGGGTGTTTATATTAGCTGTTAAAGAAACCAATATCAAAGCCGTGAGAGCGTTGGGTGTGTCTTGGAAACTTAACATTTTAGTATGTTGATTCAGATAATCAGTGGTAAATCTTTTGATTCACAGGTAGTTCACGTTCACCTTATGTTGTTTGAGCCTGTATGATTTTCTTCTATTGTAGGGTGATGTATACATTTATGGGTGTAGATAACACGCACTCCTTTAGGGGTACATTTACTTCATTCTCATATGCAGTTTTGAAGCTTAAGTATTTAGGTAAGGAAGGGGAGCGCTAACTGGCATGTACCATATGAGAGCCTAAGAATGGGCAAAACTGAAGACTTGACACTAGTTTGTGATATTACACTGTTAAAAAATTTGGGGTTGGTAAGAATTTATTTTATATATATATATTTGTTTAATTGAAAGTTGTTTTATGCTCATCAAGTCTGCATATATTTGCTCAAAATGCACTAAAAAACAGTAATGTTGTGGATAAATTATTTAATTTGAATATATTTCAAAGTGTAACTTGTTCCTGTGTTGGAAAAGCTGCATTGTTGGCATCCATTACTCCAGTCTTCAGTGTCACATGATCCTTCAGAAATCATTCTAATATGCTGATATGGTGCTGAAGAAACATTTTCTTTAGTTGAAAACAGTTGTGCTGCTTAATTTATTGTGGTAACCTTATTACATTTTGCTTTCAGGATTCTTTGAATATAAAGTTCAAATTCAAAACATTTGCATTTTGACAAATCTTTTGTAACATAAATTTCTTTACTTTAACTTGTTTCATGTAATTCATCCTTGGCGAATAATATTAATTGAATTTATATAAATATACTTTTTTTTTTTTTTTTTAAACCTCAAACTTTAAAACCGTAGTGTAGTTGTTTAATGTTTCTTTAAAACTAGTTCCAAATGCATTATGCATTTGGGAGACACTTTTATCCAAAGTGACTTGGAATGCGTTAACGGTATGCATTTTGACGGTATTGTTCTCTGGGAATCATTTTTGTGCTGGTCTTTATTTTTTTTGAGTATAGTAATGGTTCCTGACCTGAGAAGATTTAGTAGTTTGTTAAACTGGTGGGTTAGTCTTTAAATTGTAATTATGCAGCAATTTTAATTAAGCGTGCCCAATGCGGTCCTGATATATCAATGGTTAAGTGGTACTAATGTGTCATTTCAGCTCCGGAATTCAGCCTTTCTAAACAGACTGCTGATCCGTTAGGAATGCACTGTGATGCTCATTCAATGTGGTGGTGATGGATGCCAATGCAGGCCTAAATTACTATGAATTTATGGAAAGATGCAGCATGCTATTTCTCTGTAATGTTTGATAAATTGGCACACAGTTTGTAATGCTTCATCATGCAACACTTGTCATACGTTTATGATGACATAAGATAGAAAACGTATTTGAACAGATGAATGAATCTTTAGAAAAACAAGAACTTCAGGCAGTGCATTGCACCAGAAATGGGCTGTTTACATGCTTATTGTTTGTTTTCTGCACAGCTTTGACATCAGTTTGACATGTGGTAACAGTGAGGAGAAAGATTATGAAGAGCTCACTGATGTGGCCCTTCAACTCCGCGCACGATTCACCGAAAGGCAGTTCCTGAGGAATGCACAGGTTTCTGGGAAATGGAGTGAGGAAGAGGCACCCATATCTTACTTCCCCTTCATCCCGGACCAGCCTTTTAGGGTAATGAGCTGAAACACTGACATCTACATGCTTTCTAATCTGAGATCTCTAATCTGCACGAAACATGAGTCCAGGGTTGTGTGCAAAACTGATGGCAGCTGCCTCATTGCTTAGTCAGTCAGACTTAACAGACACCACTGTTGTATGCAGGTATCTCTTCAGGCAGAAGGAAGTACCCACATAATGCGATGCCTAGTGGAAATCTGAAATGAAGTGGCAAATCTCTGAATACTTTTATTCACAAGGGATACATTAAATTTATTAAATGTGACCGTAAAGGTATTTTATTTTTTTTTAAATGAATTCATTTGAACTTTCTGGTCATCAAATAATCTTGGAAAAAAAAGTATCGTGTCACCACACACAAAAAAAAAAAAAAAAAAAAAAAAAATATATATATATATATAACCTTTTTTTTTTTTTTTACCTTTTGATAAATCAATCAGCATATTATAATGATTACAGAAGGATTTGATACTGGAGTAATGGCCAATAAATTTTATATTTTAAAATCTAGTAAAACACACTGCTTTAGTATTTATAGTATTATAATAATATTACTATTTTACTGTATTTTGATCAAATAAATGTAAGGTAAGCACTTCTTTCAAAAACCTTCATCTTTTACTGATCAAACTTTTCAGACCTGAGTTCAATTTCTCTAGCCACACCCGGGCCTGATTACTGCCACACCTGTTCGCAATCAAGACATCTCTTAAATAGGACCTTCCTGACAAAGTGAAGTAGACCAAAAGCTAGACATGACGAGATCCAAAGAAATTCAGAAACAAATGAGAAGGAAAGTAATTGAGGTCTATCAGTCTGGAAAAGGTTATAAAGCCATTTCTAAAGCTTTGGGACTCCAGCGAACCACAGTGAGAGCCATTATTCACAAATGGCAAAAACATGGAACAGTGGAGAACCTTCCCAGGAGTGGCCGGCCGACCAAAATTACCCCAAGAGCACAGCGACGACTCATCCAAGAGGTCACAAAAGATCCCACAACAACATCCAAAGAACTGCAGGCCTCACTTGCCTCAGTTAAGGTCAGTGTTCATGACTCCACCATAAGAAAGAGACTGGGCAAAAATGGTCTGCATGGCAGAGTTCCAAGATGAAAACCGCTGCTGAGCAAAAAGAACATAAAGGCTCGCCTCCGTTTTGCCAGAAAACATTTTGATGATCCCCAAGACTTTTGGGAGAATACTCTGTGGACTGATGAGACAAAAGTTGAACTTTTTGGAAGGTGTGTGTCCCATTACGTCTGGCGAAAAAATAACACTGCATTTCAGAAAAAGAACACAATACCAACAGTAAAATATGGTGGTGGTAGTGTGATGGTCTGGGGCTGTTTTGCTGCTTCAGGACCTGGAAGACTTGCTGTGATAAATGGAACCATGAATTCTGCTGTTTACCAAAAAATCCTGAAGGAGAATGTCCGGCCATCTGTTCGTGACCTCAAGCTGAAGCAAACTTGGGTTCTGCAGCAGGACAATGATCCAAAACACACCAGCAAGTCCACCTCTGAATGGCTGAAGAAAAACAAAATGAAGACTTTGGAGTGGCCTTGTCAAAGTCCTGACCTGAATCCTATTGAAATGCTGTGGCATGACGTTAAAAAGGCGGTTCATGCTCAAAAACCCTCCAATGTAGCTGAATTACAATAATTCTGCATAGATGAGTGGACCAAAATTCCTCCACAGCGCTGTAACAGACTCATTGCAAGTTATCGCACACGCTTGATTGCAGTTGTTGCTGCTAAGTGTGGCCCAACCAGTTATTAGTTAACACTTTTTCACACAGGGCCATGTAGTTTTGGATTTTGTTTTCCCTTAATAATAACCTTCATTTAAAAACTGTATGTGTTCACTTATCTTTTACTAATATTTAAATTTGTTTGATGATCTGAAACATTAAAGTGTGACAAACATGCAAAAAAATAAGAAATCAGGAAGGGGGCCAACACTTTTTCACACCACTATATATATATATATATCTATCTCTATATCATTTATTTTTTTCAGAAAGCATGACTGCTTTTGCATGTTGATTTATTCCTTTATAATAGCCAATTACAGAATTATTCTGTATGGCAGAGAGTTGTATGATCAAAGTGGGCAAAGATGCTCAAAGATAAAGAGTGATTGTTTGTAATTGGGACTGAAGGCGAACCAAAAGATGGGTCACTGTTTGCAAATGTTGAGCTGAGATAAGCAGTCATGCAAAGTAAGACAAGTACTTCCTTTCAACGCATTGTCCACAATGCCTCTCAGTGACCGACAAAGGATTCTTTTGATTTGATCTCATTTTGCTCTTTCTCTCCTCTCCTTTCCACATTTATACAGATTGAGATCCATTGTGAGCATCAGCGTTTTAGGATCTTTGTGGATGGGCACCAACTCTTTGACTTTTATCACAAAGTAAAGTCTTTGCCGGCCATTAATATGATCCGGATAGTTGGGAGTCTTCAGATCACCAAGCTGGGCTAACCAAGCACACCTGAGCACACGCCAGAAAGGACTTCTCACAGGTGACCGTCTGCACCTGTGCATTTGCCGCAGCTCTCACAAAGACATCAACAACATCTGCATTTTCACTTCTCTTTTTCCCTCCAACCTAGAATTGTAATGATTTCTGAGTATTGTATCATAACCGGTTGGTGAATGATTGCAATATCAGATGTGTGTTCCAGTGTCTTTGCTTCACATTGTAGCTTATTTGTTTAGCTTCAGTAATTTTTCAGGGATTGCTCACTTTGATATGCACTCTGTGGTAGTAACATACGCCACTGGGATTTAGCTACTCTCCATAGACACTGCCAATGTACTTGTGCTTGTAGTCTAGCAGTGTAGTTTCAAAATGATCCAAAACTCAGGAAATCAGATAGTTAATTTTACTTCATTTCATTCTGATGATAAATTTGCTTTAAATTCTTATTAGATACTCCGAAATGCTTTGGCTGCTAGAATATAAGATCTCAGATTCAGCATTTGCCGTTCCACCTGGGTTTTATTTGCATTATTTAATCTTAATAATTAAAATATTTTGGAAGGAAGATGTTATTTTATATCCAAATTGTGTAGCAGGGTTTATGGTAGACTTCTAAATAGCATACATTTCCTTTCCTGTGTCGGTTCATTGCAACTATAAATTTTTGGGAAATATATATGTTACACTGACATTTTGTTGTGTAGGGCTGCCCCCTAATAGTCGACTAACCATTAGTCAACAAGAAGAGGCTTAGTCTATCAAATTTATTAGTCGCTTATTTGCAGAAAAAAAAAAATCCACAGGAAGTTGCGTAGTGGCGTGGCGGACAGATTATTAACAGCTGGTCTATGTGGTAATTACAGTACATCAAAATGTTTGTTTCGTTCATCAACCTCAAATGTGGCTTATCTAAAACATGCAAGTAGTAGCAACATGGCTGCTTGCTCAAACACTTGAATAGCACACACTTTTCTGGGTTAACGTTAGTGGCGTGCGGAAGCGGAGTAGTAGTGCGCTCACTGCATGACAGTTAACGTGGAGGCACCAGTGCGATCATTTGCATTTAACTTAACACTAATTTTTGCTCTTAGCCTCTTACAGAGCAATACATATTTTGAATTTGTAAAAGGTTTACTTGTATTTGTGTGCAGTGCACTCACAATAACAAAACGTTGTGCTTTTGTAAAATAATGAAAGCAAACTGTGCTCTTTCTGCCATCTAGGGCTCTGTGAACTTGTGCATGTAAAAAAAAAAAAATTTTACCGAAACTCTGTGCTTGCCACACCGACATGAGAAATATATCTATAGAAATTTCAATTTCTTCTTTTTAATGATCCAATTCAAATGGAGAACAAATATTTCAGATTGTGTAATATGTATGAAACGTGCATGTCCAGTGTGGAGATGATAAGTCGGTGTCGGCAACTTCATCACTGCAGCTGAAAATACAGAAAACACTAGTTTATCTATTAATTATTATGTTAAGGCAGTCTTGCTGTTTTTTTTTTTTTTTCCCCCTGACACATTCATAATTTTTTCTGCCAGTGTGCTGTGGCAAGTTTTATGCGTGCGCTTGAGCACTGATAGGCTATAGGCAATTAAAGGCTAATTATTATGAATTATATGGTTTATTAATATAAACATGCGATTAGTCAACTAATTGCTAAAAATGAATGACTAATAGTCGACTAGAAAAATCTTTAGTCAAGGGCAGACCTAGTAGAATGTCCCATGAGGATTATTTATTGAGATAGAGGACTTTTTTATTTTAGGAAATTTGATCATCCAGTCATTCTCTTACAAGCCAGCACAGTATTTAAGTACAACAGTATAATGTTAAATCATTGACAACCAAACCAACAAAATGATTGCTTTTGGACACGGATGTTTAAGTACATTGTTTTCTGTGAGGAATGACTTCAGTGCTGCAGTTTTGCAAAAAAATAACTCTGCTTATCTGTTTACGCTTTATTATAAGCACCTCGTAAAAAAAATTGAAGGAGCAGATATAATAGGGCTGAATTGTTTCTTGAATGTACCGTCATCCACTGATAGGCTTCGTAATAGCTTAGCTGTGGGTGTAAAGTGAGCATCTTCAGTCTTCAAAAAGAAACTATTATTCTCTCCTCCTCCTTCGTACTCATAATGTCACTCCTCTTAATATAAACACAAAATGAATGGTCAGCATATTTCCTGTATTCAGCAGTGCTTTTTGTTCCGAACCTCTGCCCTGTACACCCACAATGCTGTCCACTCGGTTGTCTTCTGCTCAAGTTCCATTTGTAGGATTGGATTAGTATGATAGCAGTGATTATTATTGCTACTTATTACATCACAGTATCCAAAAAACACTTCTTGCTTCATTTTCATGACATGCATATATGTACATGACCATTCAAAAGTTAGGGATTTTTTTTTATTTTTTTTTTAGACCGCATTTATTTGACTAACTGCAGTAAAAACAATATTGTTTGTGTGCAATTTAAAATAACTTTTTTTTATTTTTTTTATTCCTGTGATGGGATGGCAAAGCTGAATTTCCATTTGATCCTTCAGAAATACCATTCTGTTATGCTGATTTGATGCTCAAGAAACATTTATTATCAATGCTGAGAACATCTGTGCTGCTTAATATTTTTGTGGAAACTGATATTAAGTGGTATTAATTTCTTTAAAGGGGTCATATGATATTGCTAAAAAGAACATTATTTGGTGTAATGAAATGTTTATGCGGTTTAAGGTAAAAAAAAAAACACATTATTTTCCACATACTGTACATTTATTGTTTCTCCTCTATGCCCCGCCTTTCTGAAACGCGTAGATTTTTATAAAGCTCATCGGTCTGAAAAGCGAGGTGTGCTCTGATTGGCCAGCTATCCAGTGCATTGTGATTGGCCGAATACCTCAAGCGTGTGACTGAAATGTTACGCCCCTACCATACTGTGATGCCGGAGCGACGAGACAAAAACAATAAAACCCATTATAAACTAGGCATTTGTTGCATCCAGTGGGGACATGATTACGGATTATAATGACTTTCTACGCGTTGCGTGTTGCGCCGCGTAAACATAAAACCATGTCTGCATTTGTGATCAGAGAAATGACAAACAACAAGCCCTACACTACACTGCTCAAAACTCGCTTTTGAATCATCAGTGGCAAATCCTTTAAATATGAAAACGTACTTGCAGTCTGTGAGTCAGAACAGCCGGCATTGTAGTCTACTCTACCAGGATCAGGACACAGTCCTCCATAAAATGCGCTGCACACATCTGAATATTTGGGTTGAACTGTTCTGGAACAGTGTTGTAAATACAACTTAACCACTGATTTCTAGTCGTGTCCTCTTTTGGAAGGCCAAACAAAGTAGTTTCGCTTTCACAATGAAACGGTGTCTTCACAACATGGCGGTGGTGGTAGCAACAATAAAGTTATGCCGCCTTTCTTTGCGTGAACATTTGGGCAGTGTTATGCAAATCTTCCCACATCGTGACATAGACATGCGGGGGCGTGTTTAAACGAGGCGTTTTAGGAGGGTGTGGACCAGTCTAAACTTTTATAAAGAATATCTCTTTGGGTTTGAGACTTTAGTCTTTGCAACTTTAGGGATCTTATCTATTCACAAACCGCTTGTGACACTCCAAAGAGAAAGCTTTCAAAAACTTGAAATCGCATCATATGACCCCTTTAAAAAAAAAATACTGACCCAAAACTTTTGAACGGTGGTGTATGTAGTAGTACTACTGTCACATTAATTCTTGTGTTGATGAATGTTCCCGGTGCTGTAGTGACAGAGTCAGGAATGTTTCTTATTAGTCAGTATTACTGTATATTCAGTATTATGGCTATTGTAATATTTTCTAATATTATACTTATACTCAGTCTGTGTCCTGGAACTCATTGAAATAGAGGCAGTGACGAATGAAGTTGAAGGGCTGCTGTTTTTGTATGCTTTACTGGTCGATTAACTTGACTGAATTTCATGTGATGGAATAATGCTATTACATGCCAGAGAGTACTTGAGACCAGCCAAAAAACATTTGTCCACATCATAGTCTGGTCAACATTGAAGTCAGAAGATTGAGATTGAGTGCAATAGGAAACGTGTATTAAAGATCCTTACTCTGCTGAGAAGGTACTCCTGATAGAAAACTCCAGCTAAATAAGGTATTGTACATTTAATGTGAAGTAGGTCATTTTTATACTTGGCTGATTTTCCTCTGCAATTGTTTGTCTCTCAAACTTGTGCAGACTTTGTTTAATTGAGAATCGGTATGGCAGCACAAGCAATATGGTCCTTGACCACACACCCATCTGACATGTTGTGGCAAACGCACTTCGATTTGACATACTAAGCAACTGAAACATGGTCATCTGGACCAATGTGATACACTTAACACAATTGCTATTTAAGTGCTAAATCAGTAAGTTGTGAGCTTCATTCTGTCTGCTGCTGTTTTAACATTTAAATGCTGACCATTCTGAGCATCATTTAGTCTCTGAACAATGTGTGTGAAATTACACCTGGATAACTGAAAAATGGGGAGGGAGAATCTGTATTTACAAAAATAACAGGTGAGAAAGAACATAAGGAGAGAATGTAAATAGTGTTGACTATGCTTCAAGAAACTTTAGTATATTCATAGATTTTGTTAATGTATTTGGCAGACGCTGTTATCCAAAGTGACTTACAGTTTATTGAAGTTTTAACAAACTGCATTTCTCCCTATGATCCTACTAATATTACTGATACCAGTTCTAATGCTTCCATCTTTATTGCGGTCTCTTGTCTTGTATCTCAAAATGACCAATCTTTCAAACTGATTCACATTTATGAGGGTTGAAAATGAATGTCCTGGTTGTAAACTACTGTTATGAAGCCTTCAAACTTTGGATGTACATATATTAAACAGGGCCTCTGTATGCTTAATTTTTTTTAATATATGTATTTTTTGCTACTGCAATGTCTTAACACTAAAGAGTGTTTGTAAGGTGAATGTGATATTTAGTCTGAGTTTTCACTGGTTACCAGTTCATCAACATTTTAGTTGATTTCTTTAGATTCTAGGTAGCATGGTACACATTTCTTTTTCCTTTTCAGAGCTTTGTTTTTAGAGCTTAATATGCCAGTTCTTTTGTTTAAAGAGAATATTTCAGACATGTTTATGTATTTCTAAAGTGGCCCATTACTTAAAGTTAGTTTGTGATGTTGGATGTAGTTGCACAATCAATTTCATGGATTAAGACCTGCAGAGTTGGTTCAGTGTGCTTTTCAAAACTTGGTATTTATCAGAAATGTGCCTATTGAAATATGGCATTGGTGTTTGGGATCTAAAATTGTATTCTTACTAATGATTTACACCAACTGAGTTAAATTTTGACTTGCCCTTTTATTTTTTTTGTAATGCACTTCATGTATGGTACAAGTGCTTCTATTGAAACTAAATCAATAAAAACAAACAATGAATCCATAATTAGCTAAGGTATGAAATGTTTGTCATCAAGAATCCCCTGTAAAATACTTATGTGTGTGTATATATATTAGTACAACTAAAGGGTAGCATTTGGGTGAAGAAAAAAAAAGTGTATGCCTGAATAAAAATGTGCATTAAAAGTACACGTGTGGTGAAAGATTTGTCGTCTGGGTAATCATAAACTAGTTAATGTCAATGCATTGTGTTTTGATTTTAAAGGTAAGATTTGGATTTTCAGACATGTTTATGTATTTCTAAAGTGGCCCATTACTTAAAGTTAGTTTGTGATGTTGGATGTAGTTGCACAATCAATTTCATGGATTAAGACCTGCAGAGTTGGTTCAGTGTGCTTTTCAAAACTTGGTATTTATCAGAAATGTGCCTATTGAAATATGGCATTGGTGTTTGGGATCTAAAATTGTATTCTTACTAATGATTTACACCAACTGAGTTAAATTTTGACTTGCCCTTTTATTTTTTTTGTAATGCACTTCATGTATGGTACAAGTGCTTCTATTGAAACTAAATCAATAAAAACAAACAATGAATCCATAATTAGCTAAGGTATGAAATGTTTGTCATCAAGAATCCCCTGTAAAATACTTATCTGTGTGTGTGTATATATATATATTAGTACAACTAAAGGGTAGCATTTGGGTGAAGAAAAAAAAAGTGTATGCCTGAATAAAAATGTGCATTAAAAGTACACGTGTGGTGAAAGATTTGTCATCTGGGTAATCATAAACTAGTTAATGTCAATGCATTGTGTTTTGATTTTAAAGGTAAGATTAGGATATTTTGTAATTTTGTGAATTTTGTATGAATTTCGGTGCTTTTATAATGGATTTGCAGACCAATAAATGTCAATAACTCAACAGATTCTGAAGTCATTTAATGTGTCCTGTGTAAGCACTGAACATAAGCTTCACCTGGGGGGTATTCCAGAAAGCAGGTTATGTGGGTATGTTTAAGGGTGAGTTAGTAAGCGGATAAACTCCGCTTTCAGTTCCAAAAACACGGGTAACTTTCAGTGTATGTAAGTAGCTAATTATTCTTTGAATTGAGTTTGCTTCAGAGCTATCAGCGCATGCGCGAACTATCGACTAGTGGGCGTGGCGGACTGCGCACAATTAATGTTATATATTTTTATAGTTATCAAATATTACATATGTTAATTAGAAAGCACTATTATAAGTAATAAGGTAATATTATATTCTAATGTTATTATTTATTTTATTGTCATATATAATGGTTATCGAATAGTTATCAAGTAAGCAAGGTTTGGGTTAATCAACCGAGAGTTCAGGGTGTATGTGACGGTAAGTTAACCTGGCTTTCTGGAATACACCCCTGATCTTTAAAACTGCGTGGCGGTTTACCAGTTCAAACAAAACGCAAAACCGTAAATAGCATCAAACTCTGTAAACACTGTAAATTGCAAGAATAAAGTGCCCTCTACTGGTTGGTTTCTTTTACTGGAGAAATAAATGATTTCATTTCATTGACTGAAATAAATATAACATGTTTTGAAGCTATAATTAACATTACCCTCAGATCAGCCCTTATGTATGTTATACGTTTTCTGCTGGCAATACAAAAACAGAAAAAGGCAGTACATTTGCACAGTGCGAAGTTCATTCACAAAAGTGACCAATAGAGGGAGCTATACGCGCAAAAACGTACCGTTGCCATCTATTATTTTCTATATAGTACTTTGTGTTAAAACGAGGTCTAATCAAAGCATTAAAAGGGAATATAAAATCATTAACTCTTCTTTAAACCTCTTTGAAAGCGGGTATTGTGGAATAACTGAAGGGGGTGTTTATACAGTATCTGGCATCCTGACTGCGCAGTGACGTATCCATTGAGAGCCAACCAGCGCGACTCCAGCGCGCGCACGCACACGCACACGCGCACGCGCACGCACACACACAAACACAGAGACACAGACACACAC